CTCTATTTCTCTCTCATTAGTTAGAGTTTTGATGTTATAGAAGTTAGAAAACCCTAAAGGCAGCACGCCCAAGCCATTTGCTCATATAAACTATGTTAGCTTCTGCCTATCTTTTATTATCCCTCTCTCTTTGCTGCATAGGTTTCCTTAACCTCAATCACGTACGTGCCTTTTGCCTTTTCCATAGTACCAATATTTGTGACAATTTAGTAATTAGTGTTTTCTCATCTCTTACGATTCATTAGTTTTAGTGTGATTCTCTATTATACTTTTCATTGCATGGGATGTTTAAGTTATGGATTGAAGCAAGTGAGAGTATATGTTTACAAAAATGTAAAAACATGTATTCATGGCCAAAATATTTTTAATCTTTGTCCAAATGAAAAAAAAAAAACATATTATTGATTGATTTCTTATTTTTTAAGAATTTTTGTACTTTTTTATTTTTCGAATATCCTCAAGCTGGGCCAAAATATATTTCAATTTTTGTCAAAATGATAGAAAACATTAATTTTTTTTTTTTGGATTTTATTTTTATTTTTTTATTTAATATCATCAAGTAGTTTTTCGATGATATAATGTGAGAGAGTAGACTTAGGTGGGCTAGCCATGTGTGGCGCCGACCAAGGACAACACCTATTAAGTGATTCGAATTGGTTCAAGTAGGACTTAAAAGGGAAAAATGTAGGCCCAAAAGGAGTGGTCTGAAGTAGTCCGAAAAGATATGAGGATTTATACTGTCATTGATGATATGGCCTTTAATATAGCATAATGGAGAACCGAGATTCATGTAGCCAACTCCAATTAATTGAAAAAATTCTAAAGTGATGATCTTCAAGTAGCTTCTCAATCGCAAGAACAAAAAAAAGTCATTTCTTATATGAAGTGGTAGTAATAATAAAATAATGAAATAATTTTTTGATTTTTTTCATTGCCATAATATTTAATAAAATTGTTGATAAAACCACTAACCAATTGCTTAATGGAAAATTGTTTTATGTGGGCTGTACTACATTTCTACAATATGCGGTCCCAAAGTATAAAGCATCCATCTTTACAATATGCTGTCCCAAAGTATAAAGCATCCATCTTAAAGATGGATGCAAATAGGTGGTCCATCTAAAAACAATTTAAACTAACAGTCAAAATGTTTTCTTCATAAAACTATTATTTTTATTTCTTAAAAATTATTTCTTTATTTATATTTATGATCTCCATATTAATAATTTTTAAAAATTGGGTCCGAAAATCCATCTCGAAAATAGATTTTTAAGAGGCGACTCACTTCTACATAGACTCATAGAAACATTGTCCTTGATTTATAATGGTCCAGGCATGGACCTATAAAACTTCCAAAAGTCAATGGAATCGACCCATGCATTCATACTATTTTTTTTCTTTTTTGTTGTTATCATTCATGTTGTACTTTTTTTATTATTATTGTCATGCATGTTGCACTTTCATGAAATCAAATAACAAATGTTCATTATTATGTAGTGCAATATTTATCTAGGATAATAATTGTCTTGATCTATCGTCAAAAAATGTTAAAAGATTGTACACTATTATGAGAATTATGTTTATATTCATGTAAATACCTTTCAAAATATGTTAGGCCTCAAGACACGTCATATATGTCGTGGACATTCAACATATATTCAAAATTTGTAATGATTCTACGTAATAGGAAAAGGGAAAAATTTCTTTACATCCCCTACAGCATAGAAGATCTATGCTTCCCCTACCATCCAGCCGTCCAATTTTGATCAGAGAGCCACTCACCATTTGAT